TTACTATTGAGTTCTGGGTGGGAATATACGGCTGCACCAGTATCTTTATCCTACTGTAGTTTTTTAGTTGACTAAATGAGTGCCCATAAACCTTCATTTCCTTCTCCATGCCACCTTCAGGCGCCTAACTGGTTTCCTATTCAGCTTCCCACTTGGAGACGTGGAGCGTAATATCACTCAACGACTTCGTCCACTTGTGTGTGAACTATCTGCATTTGCTTATGCATATGTATTTATTAGATTGACTGATTCTTGATTGCTTTGTTTACATAGTTCCCTCTTACTGAGCCTTTCTAGGTAATAATCAAAGGTGGATAGACTTGACTATAATTTGGTATCTAAAATCCTAGGCTATATAATCATTTTGATGTGGTTTTGTTCTCTGAGCTGGATGGTTAGTTTGCGAAGCTTTCATCACCTTACTGGGTGACATCTTCAGCGCATACTTCAAATTGAAGTATGCGCTGAAGATGTCACCCAGTAAGGTGATGAAAGCTTCGCAAACTAACCATCCAGCTCAGAGAACAAAACCACATCAAAATCATCCACCTGAGCTACAAATCTTCTCTATAATATCTATATAATCATGCTCAGATTAAGGAGTGGGTACCTGGAAGATTCAAAAGCCAGAAGATCTAAACACACCTTAGGACAGGAAGAGGGGTTATCGATCATATCTTCACTCGTTGACAGCTGCTGGAACATAGACAGCCTGATTACCGGCGTCCAACACTTCAGGTATTTTTGATTGGACTTTAGTCAGTAACTAGTGTAATTTGTCTAGTCCTATCTTTGGTGTAGACTGAATTCTGTCAGTCAAGCTCGCAATGTGGTCACCATGCCAGGTGGCTTGCCATCACGGTGCAGTGTGAATTGTTGGTATTAGATGGTTGGAGGCAATTGGCAGGAAGCCTTGGACCTAGGTTTTGTGCTAGTTGGCACTCATCAGCAAGGCGTATCTGCATCCTCGAAGGAACTCATGTCCCTTCTGAGATTCGAACCGGCGTCACCTAGTGCTGCAGTCAGAGACGTTACAACTGAGCTATTCAGGCTCGCTAGCCCTGAGACGGGATGGAAAAGGCGGAGAGGTGGTCAGTCCATCACGTGGCGTCATTGGATATGTCTGTCTGTCTGTCTGTTTTCGACATAGAACTTTGCACAAATGTGCGGAAGTTCAAGTCGCCACATTCCGTGTAGCACGCGAAGCAAGAGAAGAAAGTACAAGAAAAGCATAATAGAAACAGTGATCAGAGGTGTGAGACAAAGGAGTAATAAAGAAATACAAAACAATTTCATTGAAGATCATAAGTCACAGGGAGTGGATGCATCTGCGCCACTGAGAACGATTTTGAGCCATGTCACCAATTGTTTCCAACCATAGATTTTTGCCGTCCCGAGGACCCCAGCCTGGAAGTCTACACCTTCCTACGTGGCTTAGACCAACTGTTGTGGATTTCATTGACTGATGCCAAGTTTTTGTTTGACCGCCGCTAGCTTTTTTCCAGCCTGACCCTATATCCGCTAACGTTGCTCGTCGAGGGAGGCGATGACTTGGCATACGTAACACATGTCCTAACCATCTCAGTCTTTGTAGCTTCACGACTTCGTCGATTGATTTCCCCTGTTTACCTAGAACTCTACGCCTAACCTCCATGTTGCTCACCTTATTATGCCACTTTACACGGGAAATAGAACGCAGGCACCTATGATCAAAGGCAGCTAGTCTTTTCATGTCTTCCACTCTCAGTGGCCAGGTCTCACAACCATAAAGGAGGACGGAGCGGACTGATGAGCAGTACACCCGCCCTTTGGTCGATAGTCGAACATCTCGTCTACGCCAGAGTCGGCGTAAACTAACAAATGCGAAACGAGCCCCTTGTATTCGTGCTGAGATTTCGTCAGAGATCAGCCCGTTGGGGCTGATGGTACTTCCCAAATAAGTGAAGCGGTCAACGTGCTCTACCACTTCACTTCCTATTTTTAAACTAGGCGTCGATGTAGTCCAGTCCTGTAACATCATCTTGCATTTGGCGGGAGCGAATCGCATGCCAAACATTCGTAGATTGCTGTTCAAGGTGTTTAGAATATGTACCAGGTTAGCATCGGTTGATGCGTCACTACTCCCTGGTTGAAGTCCGAGAAATAGCTCGAATTGATGGCTCGAAACGTTATCGGATATGTCCAAGAATCGTAGTCATCAATGACGAATGTGTTGCAATTTCCTTCTTTCTTCCCTTCCCGATGATAGTTGACGAATACTGTTTAAACTTGTTAAGTATGGCTGTTTTCCTTCCAGATGAAGTTCTTTATCCGCTCTCCACCCATATTTTTACTTTTAATCTATGTTGTTTTATTATTATGCATATACACATATGCACATATTATATCTGACAAATATAATATGAGTACATATGTTCTCGTATCTGTCCAGAACAGCACTTAAATCTTATAACTCCACAGCAATAGTCTGGCGTCGGTTTAAAAATATTTAGGATACTAGCTAAATAACTCTCTTTATGCTATCTAATAATTGCCAGTCATGTCAGTCAGCTACACATGCAGTCAGCCTGAATGAATAAATTCGTTAGATTTTTACGAATGTGCTTATTTTCTAACCTGCAACTCGAGTACATTGGACACATTGTAATAGATTATGAAGAGAATAACTGGTAATTATGAATGTTGGAAATATACAGATGGAATGCTAAGTGAGAGTGGTCTTGCTATCACCTCATGAAACAACAATTATTGACTAAATATACTAAGGTGTACATCTTTTTGTGTGAAAATCATGAAATCGTCTAGACGGAAGTGATATTAAGATAGATAAGTTGGTTAACTTTTAAATTCATTGTTTGTAATGACTGAGGAATATACTACAGGATACCCTTTAAGCTCACTTGTAATGTTGAATTATAATCAAATCAAGATTTATCTTACTTTATACCGTCAGTGAAAAAAATCAATTTAAGCTTGTGAACCAAAAAGAAAACTGAAATAGTCAGTTTTAGACAAACTAATGGTGCTCAGAGTCGGTTCCAAATGGCACGAGTGCATAAAGATTTAAATTGAATTATGCATGCGGTGTCAAATCTCCCTCTCTAGTTGATGTTTTCATCTGTTTTCTAGTGGTGCTTCGAAACTAAGGATGGTTTTTTTTTCATAGCTTTTCACATTTACTAGATCATTAATGACCAAGCACTAGCGTCGGTGGCACAGAGGTTAGTACTCTTGCCGACCATGCACATTGTCCGAAGTTCGATCCCCTGCCGCGACGCACACCTGATATCTATGATTGGTCTGCAAAATTTGGGCTACCGATATCACATGCTGAAAATTCCATACTTGTACCAAAAATACAGTGTGGAATCAAGCTGTAAATCAAAAATTAAAAAGATTTAAAAACAATTATTGTGTGGCGCATCTTCTTAGTGCCATATTGTACCAAGTTTTTCTGCGTTTGAATAATAAATAAGTAAATAATAGTAATAATCTGCTTGATACTACCATAAATGGTAAACAAGAAAGCAAGCATAAATGCGTTGAACTTTATATTACTGATTACTTAATTAACATGAGTAGGTAGTTGTATACCCCTCGTATCAACCAATAGTGCTTACCAGCCAGTTTTTAGGTGATCTAAACACTAGACAGCTGTGTTTCGCTTTTCCTGCTCCTAACTCATCAATCGTGTACCCGGTATGACTCAGCTTAGAGAACCGAGTCAGTGCAACTTACATTTAAAGTCAATACACATATCACTATGTTCTATAAACGGAGGTAATATGCTATAGGATAAATTATTTATGCGGTCATGAAGAAAATAAAAGACAAAATTTTCTTTATCGACAAAATCATCTTCAGACGACTGTACAGTCGTATTTATACTTACCAAGAATGCGTACTATTCCAATATTGAGTAATACGGAGTGACGTAATTGATATAACTACTCGGAAGTGGCTTTAGATGTAAAAAATTTAAAAGTTGTAAATTACATGGTACTCAACGGCACAAAGATAGAAATTTGATACGGTTAAAATTGCTCTTGAGTGAGAATAAGGGTGATAGTTGAGTGTCAATTTAACAAGTGTAAAGAGGGTGTGAAAATGTACAGTCGGCAAATGATCAATGGATGTGTGAGGGATAAACTGCAGCCTTAGGACACCTCAATGTGTGATTATAAACTCACCTGCTTGTGTGGAGCTAGTTATATTGGTCACAAAAAACGGCACACTTCTAAACGCATCTCTGAACATTATCCAGCATGGTTAGCAAAAGGACAATGCAAGGCAATTACTAGGTCAATTCTCGAGCACTTGGTGAACTCAAGCCACCCAAATCCATCATGATCACCTATTAAAATTACAAACAAGGTGAAACCGAATGGTAAAAATTGCGTTAGGTTTCGGCATTTGTGTTTGATGGAGGTGTTGACGATTCATCAATACACTCCCTAACTCTGTATATAGAAAAAAGTTTGTCCAGTCTCGTATTCTACCTTGGTCTTAACCTCTTCACTAGTCGTTCCCTGTAAAAAATTTTGAATTTTTCTTTTCAGTTTTAAAAATTTTCCTTTTAGTTTTGCTTTAATAATTAATTCACTATTATCAGTTTCATATTCTCCTTTTGTATATTTTCACACCCTCTTTACACTTGTTAAATTGACACTCAACTATCACCCTTATTCTCACTCAAGAGCAATTTTAACCGTATCAAATTTCTATCTTTGTGCCGTTGAGTACCATGTAATTTACAACTTTTAAATTTTTTACATCTAAAGCCACTTCCGAGTAGTTATATCAATTACGTCACTCCGTATTACTCAATATTGGAATAGTACGCATTCTTGGTAAGTATAAATACGACTGTACAGTCGTCTGAAGATGATTTTGTCGATAAAGACAATTTTCTTCGCTGAATTTGTCTTCTATTTATGGGTTATTACTTTACTTATTATCACTATTATTATTATCATTATTATTCCTGTTCCACTTCCTAGCTATTCTTCATCAGCATATCGTATTAACAATGAAACTGAAGAGTCTAAAGATTCTACAAAACCATTGACAGTTCCCAGCAATCCCTTCGCTGATGGTGATGATGTCCTCAGTGATGCAGATTCTGATTTAGCTGAAATGATGATCACTCAATTACTTGAACGAAAAGGTATTAAAAAGTGCAATCCGACTAAGAATAACAGTTCGTCGTCATCTAAAGAAAAAATCACTCCTCCTGTCGACAGTATTCCATCTACAATTGAAGCGATGAAGTCTAAGATGAGCAAATCAAAAGATCTCAGTTCAGCATCGAATACTTCTCATGTAAGATGGTTAAATTCATAACTTTTCTTTTTCTCGTTCAAAGTTATTCAATTCTCACCATTAATATTAAAAGGGACAAGTCCCTTTGTTAGCGGTGAAGTCATCCTTTATACAGGCACTGACTAACATGATAACCTGATTGGACAGTTTTTTGATTCGTCAGTTTATGGCTTAAATCTGTGAGGTTTTGTCAATATGTGATATACTACGTATATTGTTTAATTGAATTTTTAGATTTTCCCGTCGATTTATTGGACTGAAGTGCTCGGTCTCAAGTTGACATGTCGGCTTCTTGTGCAGATGCTTCGACGATGTCTAGGCATGTAATTAGGGGTTAATTAGTGGATGGTGACTAGCAGTGGAATCCAGGATGCGCATCCGCTATCCACCAATTAATTTCTAATAACATGTCCGAATATCGTCCAAGTATCTGCACAAGAAGCCGACATGTCAACCTGAGACCGAGCACTTCAGTCCAATCAATCCACAGGAAAATCTAAAATTCAATTATATAATCGATGTAACCCGTTGCACAAGAGGTAGCTCTCGTGGCCCAAGTGGTCTAGTAGATAACGCTTTGGCGTTTGAAACTATGGGCACTGGGTTCGAGCCTCGGTGGGAACATCATCATTCACTGGGAAATACAGGTACATCCAGATGACGAGTCGCAAATAGGACGAAATGTGCATCCTGAATTCTACTGCTAGTCACCACCCACCAATTAAATTCTATCATGTATTTTTTCTAGAAATTGTTCTGCTTTTTACTGTTGTTGCCGCGGTTGAATATGATTTTTATGGCTCTCTTAGTGTGAGGGATATTTTTAAGTGATCAGTGGACTGCGGTTTTGTGTGAAGTTTGATGACGCCAAAACCATAAGAGTAAAATTTAGGCACTGTGGTAGAGTATGATTCCATTCTGGGTAGAAAATTTTATTTTGATAAAATCACACAGTGTTGCTATACTACAGTAACATTCACTGATGACCACGTTTCGAGTACAATTTATTTATTGTCACTCATAATCATATCAAGGCACTACTCACATAACTTTCTTACCTCATTTATATACATGAGTAATGGCTGATAATTAGACATTTGAATGAAATCAATATAAGACATCCGTGAAACAGGATGGAAGATAAAGTCTGTCTGTCTGTCTGGATTCAACATAGAACTTGGCACCGAAGTGCAGAAGTTCGAGTTGCCACCATCCAAATAGAACACAGAGGTAGACAAAAAGATGAGTGAAGACAATCAATACAGTCTGACAAGTATAAGAGTGAAACAGAATGGGTAATGGTAGAAAGGAATATGAAAGATTACAGAGACTCAATACATCTGCGCCATTGACAACGATTTTCAGCCGTCACCTATTCCCGGCCGAAAGCTGCTACCTTGACGTGGTGGTCGGGCTTGAACACCGCAATCACCTAATCAAGCTATACTGGCTGAGACTTATGTCTCTTGAGGTCCTACCATGCCAGAAAGGTTGTTTGGATAGCGGTTAAACAAAAAGCAGCTACCCAATCCAACATCATGACCAATTCAAAATCACAAAATTTCATGCCGGATCGGCCGTGGCCCGGATTAACAACGACCGCGCTTCCTGCTGCCGTGTCACAGGGCAGGAGTGATAAGTATGCAACTGAGGCACACCAAACAAAAGAGAACAAACAAAAACAGGCCGCGTGTGACCGGCCTCAAGCAGTTGTCCCCTGGGCTCTGCGGTCACGCAACCAACTTCCACGGTGTGGGCAGCCGGGAAGTAACAATCGCCCTCACAATCCGAAACGCACGCGAAACCTCTCTATTACTCACTCATCTTTGTCTTCATCTTCATCTCTATTACCTTGCCTTCCTCCCACTGATTCAACTCCTCTACTTGATGGCTCCTCACTCCCTCTTCACTCTGTGTCCACTAAAAACGACGGAAGCCAAAAAACCACCACCGACAGCCTCTTAAAGCCGCGCCACCAATTTCATATAGGAGCTCTTAATGTTAGGACACTTTGCCAAATAGGACAACAAGCATCACTAGCTAAGACCCTTGCATCCCGAGCCATTGATGTATGCTGTGTTTCAGAAACACGCATACAAGACCCAAGTGTGGTTATTCACCTAACCCCACCTGGCCAACAGGTTGAATCTTCAAAATTCACCTTGAGGGTGTCAGGAGATGCCACAGCTAGTTCACGAGGATTAGCTGGCGTAGGGATAGCTTTGAGTACTAGGGCAGAAAAGACATTACTTGACTGGATCCCAGTAGATAGCCGAATGTGTGCTGTCCGTCTGAACGGGTCAGTAAAAAGGAGGAAGGACTGCACTACTCGCCGATGCCTTTTCGTAATCTCCGCCTACGCCCCCACTGACTGCAGTTCAGATGAAACGAAGGATGAGTTCTACCAAAAGCTGTCTAGTTTGGTGAGAAAGGCTAAACGCTCAGACATAGTCGTTCTAGCTGGTGACTTTAACGCTCAAGTAGGGAAATTGTGTCAATCTGAGAAGGATGTCGGTGGCACCTATGGAGTTCCGTGCCAGCGAACCGACAACGGTGACCGACTATTACAGTTCTGCTCTGATAATCATTTGTTTCTTGTAAGCACTAACTTCAAACACAAGGAGAGACACTGTTTGACTGGGAGACCCCCATCATCAAACCAACGCTGGACACAAATAGACCATATAGCAATAAGCTATCGTTGGCGTGGGTCGGTAGGAGATTGTCGCTCCTTCTGGAACACGTGTGTAGATACCGATCACGCACTGGTCCGCGCTCGTGTGTGCTTACAACTGAACGGACGTAGGAAACAGCTGGCGGTAAACCAACCCATCACGTCCCCAGCTCGATCAGGAAACTAAATCCCTATTTGAGGAAGAACTAGCTAAACGCATATCTGAATTCGACAGCTGTGCTCACCCTGGTGAAGCCTGGAAGAATATTCAGTCAGCTATAGATACAGCTGTAAAAGCTGTGAATAAGGTAAACCCAAAGGTGAGTAAAAACCACTGGATCTCCACCGCCTCATCCGAACTGATAGATGCTAGAAGACTTATTCCGGCGAGCTCCGAATTCAATGAGGAGCGAAAGCTGCACAAAAGGTGTTATGTACTAGTTTCCCCGTCGCCAAATTGTTATGTACTCGTCGCTAAATTTTTGTTATGGACTGGTCGAGAAACTAATGGTCCTGACGCGAGAAGGCGGAAATCAGAAGACCACTAGGTTTGCGATGATACTTCTATTGTCCAAACACAAGGAGACGAAAATAAATGGTCTCACACCAAAGTGGTAAGTAAGTAAAGTAGTTGTAAAGTAAAGTAGTTCACACAAATTGTGAATGCGAATATATATAAAATAATTCAGACAAGCGTGGGAAAAATCATTAGACAGTCTTAACATGAATGGCTAATTATAATGGAGTGTCGATCCAATTATACATAGCGAATATAGCAGACATGCCAACAAACATATATGGATATATGTCACCAAGCAACGGACTGTCAACAAACACTCATATTATATATAATATAATATAAGGAGAATACACATTATTAAAGGAGACAAGTCCATACAAGTGAAGTGGTCACAGACTAACCGAGCAAACAGAAAGAGAGACCAACATGCACACACACACATAAATATATATATATGTGGATACATATCAAAAGGAAACTTACGAAAAGTCTTCGCAAGGACCGTGAACAGTGGTGGGTGACAAAGGCGAAAGAGATGGAAAAAGCTTTGAGGATAGGCAACCCAGGCAACTCTTTAGACTCATCAGGGAAACGGGTGGGAGAAGACAAATCATCAGTGAGACAATCTCGGAAAAAAATGGCACTATAATTAGCTCCCAGGATAGACGACTGGATCGCTGGAAAGAGCATTATGAGGAGCAGTTTAATTGGCCCACAGCCACGCTCAACCTTCCGAACATTCAACACCTCCCTGAATGGGATATAGACACAGGTCCTCCATCCCTAACTGAGATTACTAAAGCTGTCACCAATCTGAAACTAGGTAAAGCAGCGGGACCTGATGGAATGACTCCAGAGGTATTTAAGTACGGTGGAGACAGCTTACTGTCTGGATTAACTGAGGTACTAGGAAGCGTCTGGGAATCAGAAGAAGTCCCATCGGGTTGGTGTAAGTCACTGATTATCCCCATATACAAGAAGGGAGACAAGTCTTCCTGTGATAATCACAGAGGGATTAGCTTGACTAATATAGTATCTAAAGTCTTAGGCTCAATAATCATGCGTAGACTAAGTGGTGCTCGGGAGGCACAAACACGAGAGAGCCAGGCAGGCTTTAGATCAGGAAGAGGGTGTATTGATCATATCTTCACCCTCCGACAGATTCTAGAACATAGGAATTCCTACCGGCGTCCAACAATCATTATATTTCTTGACCTAAAGGCAGCTTTCGACTCTGTCGATCGAGAAGTTCTCTGGAGATGCTTGGCTGTAAACGGAATTCCAAGAAAATATATTGCACTGATTAAGGAACTCTACTCGTACTCATACAGCCAGGTGAGGGCTTACGGCGAGCTGTCATCTGAACTGATGACGACCAGTGGTGTCCGTCAAGGATGCCCATTATCTCCTTTTCTATTCAACTTCATCATAGATGTGTTAATGGACTTAACCCTAGGTGACTTCGGCGACTCAGGGATTGACTTGCTACCGGGGAATAATCTCGTTGACTTCGAATATGCAGACGATATAGTCCTTCTAGGCGAAGACGCTGACGAAATGCAGAGTCTTCTAAACACCTTGAGCCGCAATCTACGAATGTTTGGCATGCGATTCGCTCCCGCCAAATGCAAGATGATGTTACAGGACTGGACTACATCGACGCCTAGTTTAAAAATAGGAAGTGAAGTGGTAGAGCACGTTGACCGCTTCACTTATTTGGGAAGTACCATCAGCCCCAACGGGATGATCTCTGACGAAATCTCAGCACGGATACAGAGGGCTAGCTTCGCATATGCCAGTTTACGC